GGCAGCTTGAAGGGCAGGGAAACAGCCCAATGAACATCACCGCAGAGGAGCCAATCAGCTAGATGTTGCTGGGGCCACTGTGAGCCAATCATCAGCCGGCAGCTGGAAGTTTGCTGGGGCCCCTTTGGCTGTGGCTCTCAACACAGATGTAGGTGTTTTCAAGTTGCAAAGCATAAGTTCTCATTAGATCCTGTTGAAGGAGCACAACAGTGAGATGTTAAGCATTAAAAAGTAGGTATTATTTTTATGTGACCTATACATCACACTATATTAATAAATAAATTAACTTCTGAACTTACTTTTACCCAATGCCATTCAGCAATTATCTCCACAGACCAAGAAGGATAAAGTTCTTCCTTAATAAAACGTAGATGCTTCTGTCTGTTGGTCACCCAAGTAACAACAAGACAATTTGGAGCAGCCAGTTTCGGAATAGGTATTTGCTTTATTTGCAGTGGCGATAAATAACTGTACCTAAAAATACACAGAAAAAATATGACCAAAATTCACAGCAAAAAAGAAGAGCAGGGAAAGACTTAGATAACATTGGCCCCATTACAAGCCTATTCTAGCTATTTATTTGTGTAGCTAAATATGAAGCCAGAGTGCCACCTGGTGGGCATATTATTACCCAAAAGTAAAAACTGACTTCATTTTTCTTTGACAAAATTGCCAGACTGTATTGTTTTTTAATCATTTCCAGTCACATAATATAACCCAAAAGCCCTGCACAAAATGCTGACCCCTCAAGTCACCTATCTTCTCACACAACCTCAGCTCCTTTCCACTACATTTTCAACCCCCAATCGATCATCCTGTTTCTTTCTTCCTTTCCAATCAATTCCACTGAGCTCTGTGAAGCCCTCAGACTTTCATTTTAAAAGTAATCCATTGTCTTGGAACCTACTGCCATTAAAAGTAGAAAGTCTAGTTTGTATTGACAGAACACTACTAGCTGTATGATACCCAATCAAGTGAATATGCCCCCTTCTGCAACATCCAACACATGCAACAGGAGGGGAAAAATCAGTATCCTAATTCATGGCTACCTCTAGCCCCTATCACACCCATCTTAGCATAAAATGTCCTTCTCTTTGAGACACATGCTATCCAGCTCTGCTACACTAATGCTCCTTACTGAATCCATTTCATCCTCACTCTCCATATTCAGTGATGATTTAAGCTCTGAGATCCTTCTGCCTCACCAAGACATTATCCTAGACAATTTCAGAGCATAGCCCATATCATGTACATGCCTCAACTATACTTTATCTAAACAAACAGAATTGTATTCACCCTACTTCAGTAGTCTACTGTGATGCAATAACCTGGACTTTACCATGACACTTGCTTCATCTCTGAAACCAATCACATTAATCTCTTGCCTCCTATCATTTATCTATTCTTGGACCTTAATCAAAGAATCCAGTGCCCTATTCCTCCCCGTTCAGTTTCTTCCTGGCCATACTTCATCTTCCATAGACTACCAATCACTTCATTACCTTTTCTCTAGTAACCTCAACTCCCATCCCCACCCACTCTACCCTTCAACCTCACAGTTCCTGCAAACCTTCTATCTTAACTCTATACTATCTTGTAATTCAATTTTCTCATACAGGGAAAATCATATAAAGACAAATATAGAAACTGGGTCACTAAAATTCTCAGTTTCTCAAAACTATTCGTAATTTTACTAATTATCCTTCATCAAGTACTCCAGACCCCCAACACTTTTCAGATTTGTCAAAACTTACTCTTGGCAGATGAAGCTAATTCATATAACAATAAAAATAAAAATCTTTAGGTTCCTTCAACTGCCCAATCCTCTCTCCCTTCCTTTTTATGCCTTTATTTATCTATTTCTATAGAATGACTTGACTTATGAAAGTTTATCCCTCCAGATGGGTTCACTTATTCCCATATTTTAGTATCTTGTCAGGCCAGATATCCCTTCCTTCTGTATTTCAATCTCTCTACTAGTTCTTTACTACTAATCTATAAATATGCTTATATTATTCAATTTAAAAAGAAGAAAGCAGAGAGAAGAGGGAAGCCAAAGAGAGGAAGAAAAGCAAAGGAAAAAGAAGGGGGGAAGTGGGAAAGGAAGGATGGAGTAAAGAAAAAAGAAATTCCCTTAATTTAATCTCCTTCTGTTTAAGCTAAAAACTGATTTTCACTTAGTCTTTCCACTCTTCCTCCTTTTACTCCTCAGTCAGCTCCAATAAGGTTTCTACTGCTTTTTCTGCTCTGAAAAAAAGCTAACTGGCCTCCCAACTGCAAATGCAATGAACATTGGAATCTAGCTCTAATGCAAGGCAACTATACAATGTCAGGAATAATCGATCAATAGTTCTAAAATAAAAAGTCACAAAAATTCTTTGTCTTGCATCTTTTTTTTTTTTTTTTTTTAGTTGTAGATGGACACAATACCTTTATTTTATTTATTTATTTTTATGTGGTGCTGAGGATCGAACCCAGGGCTAAGGCAAGCGCTCTAGCGCTGAGCCACAACTCCAGCCCTTTGTCTAGCACCTTTAAAAGAAAAATATCCTGTTCACACAGTTCATAAACAAAAAGCATAAGGAAGGGCAGATAACTATGGAGAATAAGAAATTTCAGATAAAATTTAAGTCAAACTAGGAATTGTTTAATCAAGAAAACTGAAGAGTAGGAGGAAACACAAGTGAATACATTCACTAGAACTAAAGGGAAAAATTCTTAAAGGTTTTTAAAACACTACTAAAAGGAAAGCTTGTCTTAGTAACTAACTGAACTTACCATCACAAGAGAAACAAAAACTAAAAATGCATCATAAATTAAATTAAAAATATAAACAAATATAAGAATCAATAAGAAAAATTCATTCATAGCAGGTTATTGAAGAAAATTGGAAATAGTATGCACATCTTTCTAAATTTTAGAATCAGATGCAAAAGAAGGCAAAGTTTTTGTCCTCTGACAATACTGCCCAGGGTTATAGAAATAATCCTGAAATGGTTTAGGCAGTAGTCTTATAACAAGTAAAAATTATATATATTTTTTGTTTGTTTGTTTTGTCTCTTGGTACCAGGGATTGAATCCAGGGGCATTTTGCCACTGAGCCACATCCCCAACCCTTTTTATTTTTTATTTTGAAATAGGGTCTCACTAAGTTGTTTAGGATCTTGCTAAATTGCTGAGGCTGGTCTTGACCTTACTATCCTCCTCCCTCAGTCTCTGAGTGACTGGGATTTCAGGTATGCACCACCATACCCAGCAAAATACATTACTCTTAACATTCCAGTGCAGTTCAAGAGAATCATCTAATTAAGGAATTAAAACTTAAAAATTACTTAAAGCATTTTAGTAGTTACAGGTAACCTGAATCATAATGTTTATAGTATATTAAATTAGAATGTAAAAAGGACTATAGTTTTTTAATATTTTTTTTAGTTATACATGGACACAATATCTTTATTTTGTTCATTTATTTTTATGTGGTGCTGAGGATAGAACCCAGGGTCTCACACATTCGAGGGGCGAGCGATCTACCGCTAAGCCTCAATCCAGCCCATATAGTTTTTTTTTTAATATTTATTTTTTAGTTATAGTTGGTCACAATACCTTTATTTGTTTATTTATTTTATGTGATGCTGAGGATCAAACCCAGGGCCTCACTTATGCTAGGTGAGTGCTCTACCACTGAGCCACAACTCCACCCCAGGACTATAGTTTTTAGGAAGCATATCTAGTAGATAATTCATTTCCACTTACCTATTACTTCTTTTAACTGATTTATTCTGCCATGGTGGATCTATCACAATTACATCGAATGTTTTCCTACCTGAAATCAAAGACAATTTCAGAACCCTCTGTATATGACTACTTTAAAGATGCAGCTCAGTGAAAGAAGACATAATTAAGCATATTCAAAAAAATAAAAACTAACAATGTACTTTCATTAATAACACAAATATGACGGAATGCAAAAAAAGGTTTATAGCATTTATTCAAATATACTAATTTATCTTTAAAAATTAGTATTCCCCTTATAATTTAGGATCTCAGATTTTAATATAATTTCTCCCACTACTATTTTGTTTTTGCAGTACTGGGGATTAAACCCATGGGTGCTATACCACTGAGCTATACCTCCCTTTTTTACTTATTTTTTTTTAATATTTATTTTTTAGTTCTCGGCGGACACAATATCTTTATTTGTATGTGGTGCTGAGGATCAAACCCAGGCTACAGGCACGCCAGGCGAGCGCGCTACCACTTGAGCCACATCCCCAGCCCTTTACTTATTTTTTTAAACATTTCTTTTTTAATTGTAGTTGGACACAATACCTTTATTTTATTTATTTTTATTTATTTATTTATTTTTTAATATTTATTTTTTAGTTTTCGGCAGACACAACACCTTTGTTTGTACGTGGTGCTGAGGATCGAACCCGGGCCGCACACATGCCAGGCGAGCGCGCTACCGCTTGAGCCACATCCCCAGCCCCTATTTTATTTATTTTTATGTGGTGCTGAGCATCAAACCCAGGGCCTTGCACATACTAGGCAAGGGCTCTAAAGCTGAGCCACAACTTCAGCCCATACTTACTTATTTTTGAAACAAGGTTCTCACTAAGTTGCTCAGACTGACCTTGAACTTAGGATCCTCTTACTTCAGCCTCCAAAGTTGCTGGTATTATAGGCACCCAACACCACACCTAGCTCACTTCCGCTTTTTACAGACACTACCTACAGATGACTACAGCTCACTAAGCTGGATGCTAATAATTTGTAAATTCCCCATAAATCTTAGCAACCACATGAATATGTTCCTTTCAAATTAAGGTGACTTTTTTTTTACTTTACATTTTTTAATTTTTTATTTTGAAATTTCAGTCTTATATTTGATATACTGACCATAATAAAATTTTCCCATTTATCTACTAATTTCTTTATTCCTTGTCCAAAATCAAAATTTAATTACCATGTCTCCTAAATATCCTCCAATCCAGCAAAACTCTTTCTTAAGTCTTTTATGACTTTGAAATTTTTAAAGGATAGAGGCCAGTTATTTTATAGAATTTTATAGAATGTCCCTCAATTTGGGTTTGGTATTTCCTCATAATTAAATTTAGGTTATTTATATTCGGCAAGAGTACCATCAAAGTAATGCCTCAGCACCTTATCAGAAAAATATGTGTTATAGGATGCGAAAATGGCTTACCAACATTACTTTACATAACTGGATTAAAGTATTATTGCCAGACTTCTCCAGTTTTTCCCTTGTAATAGACAAGTATCTTGTGGGGACATACTTTAAGATCATGAAAACATCCTGTGCTTCATCTTTTCACCCATTCTCTTGACATCCAATTATTATTATGGTATTTGTCAAATAGAAATTTCTAGTTCCAACATTCAATCCACATTAATTAATTGTAATTTTACCGTAAAGAGGAACGCTCTCTTTTCCCCCTTTTATATTTTTGTAAACCTAAAATCTCATAAGTAATAAAAGGGTACATTTACAATAAATATTAGAGTAACAAAGACTAAAAAAGAATGGGAAAAAATGTTCAAAGTAGCATGATTTTCTCATTAATTTGTTAACTTGTCATTTACTCTTAAAGAATTTATGACACTGCTAATAGATAACCACTTTCAAGTAAGATGGCCAGAGAGCAATTAAAAGAAACTTTCCATTAATAAACTATGTTGAAGTTGCTTGATAACTTAAAATCTTGCTATAAAACATCAACATAACAATAAACACATGTTTAAATTCAATTTAATCAATATACCTCTTATGTACCACCTTTATCCAATTAAAAGTTACAACTTACTAAAAACACTGAACTAAGAATATGATACAGATTATTTCATTTAATACTCAAAATGACCCTCACAAGTAAGTACTATACCCAATTTATAGATTAGGAAATTAAGGCTCAGCTTTATGAGGTGAATAGCCCAATGACTCAGCTAAAATTCAGAATCTATTCAAATACATGTCTCTGTGACTATGGAATTCCATATTTAAATTTTTTAGCTTTGTACAGGAAAATGTCTCAATAAATTTTAGATATACACTTGAACATTAGCTTAGCCTAAAAGACTAGGAATGATCTGGGAATATTCATAACTGAAGCATTTCTATTTAGCTGTGAAGAAATGTTAAAGAAAGTAATATAATTAAATACAACTGTATTCTGGATTCCTAAGTACTGAAAACTAATTATATTTGCTCTCTTAGGGATAGTTTCTGACCCTTTGGTCATAATAAGAATATAAATTTAAAAGAAAAAGCAAAAATCAGCACATTAAAATTGACTTTGTGATACTAGGAATAGAACTCAGGGGCAATCTACCACTGAGCCTCACCCCCAGAATTTTTTGTTTTTTATTTTGGAATAGAATCTCGCTAAATTGCTGAGCCTAGCCTTGAACTTGGAATCATCCTGCCTCAGTCTTCCAAGTAGATGGGATTACAGGCATGCCACCACATCTGGTGTAAATTCAATTTCAAAGAAAAATTATACTGGGAAAGGTGTTTACCCTGTCATCATAATGTAGGCCCTTGTTCAAAATTCAGATAGCTTTTAACTTCTGAGGTCACAGAAAAATTATCTTTTTCTAATAATAAACACAATAATTACTTACAGTTCAGAAGTGGCTGTATACAAGAAATGTCAGATAAAAGAAAACTGCACTTCGGTGGCAAGAGGTATTTCTGTCCCATTAAAGTAATCATTTTTGTAAAATTAGAGTTATTTTCAACAACCCGTGAAAATAAATCCTGCTCTGTAACAGTCATATCATCTTCTCTCAATTGTAATGTCTGAAGTTCCATTTCATTCATAGAAGGTAAATGCTTTGCCATTTCACATAATCCTGACAAATTGCAGGTATCAAGTGGTAAAGTAATGGGTTCATTACACTTGTCCTGATTTTCAAATAGTGGATACAGAAAACCACTTTTGAGACCTTCTTGGATTAATTTTAAAGATCCATCCAAAATCAGCTCTCTGATCTGTAAGAGAATTTGTTTAAATTACATTAAAAGGACACTGACATTATTATTATTTTTTAAGAGAGAGAGAGAGAATTTTAGTATTTTTTTTTTTTTTTAGTTATCGGCGGACACAACATCTTTGTTTGTATGTGGTGCTGAGGATTGAAACCGGGCAGCACGCATGCCGGGCGAGTGTGCTACCACTTGAGCCACATCCCCAGCCCAATGTTATTATTTTTTGTTTGTGTGGTGCTAGAGATCAAACACAAGCATGCCAAAAATGTTCTACCACCCACCAGCTCAACCCAGCCCTAAAATAATTTTCTAAACAATGAAATGCCCACTGTGCTTTGGAGATCTGAACTTGTAAATTTTATTTTTGATATATTCTTTCACAATCAAAAAGAGAAAAATACAGTGTCCTACCATCAACATTAATTCAACATGTACAAAACTGGAATTATGATCCCTCCCAAGCTGAATTTCAGCCCGTTTTTCAATTTCAGTTAAAGGCACTCCACAGTCAAGTATAAAATATTTATGCACTTTTTAAAATATTTTTTTAGTTGCAATGAACACAATATCTTTATTTTATTTATTTATTTTTATGTGGTAAAGAGGATCGAATCTAGTTCCTCACACATGCTAGGCAAGTGCTCTACCACTGAGCCACAACCCCAGCCCAGCATTGTTTAAATTCGAGAAATATACCCTTCACATTACTCATGCTTTCTTCTGCTACTACATCAGTATATTTTTTTCCTATGCCTTTATAATTTCTAAAATAGCACAAGTCTACATAAGTTTACATGGTTAAAGTAATAGAAGCATATGAAGTATCAATAAAAACTGATTTAAACCATTTTACACTAAAAAAGTAATAATAAGACACTATTTACTTCAAACTCTGATCAAAAAAAATTTTAAGAACATCCTTCTTTATGTAACCCATTTATTTTATATTACTTCATATTAATCTTCCCATGTAATCAATGAACATTTTATACCTACCTTTGTATGGTATTCCATAGCATCCAATTCACCTTGATTGAAAACAACACATCTTTTACGCTTCTGAAAAGCAGATAAATTACAAAGTTATTTGCTATCTATTACAATATTGATATTTTAAAATATTTTTTATTTAAAGAGAAATATCTTTTCTCTATCACGCTCTATATTGTATATTTTTATATCTTAGTCTTTAAGAGGAAATAATTTCTATTGAGGTCAAAATCAATGCAAAGGGGTACAAACTAAGGAGGTAAGCTTCCCCAAAGTTTAAAAAAAAAAAAAAACAACGGGGTGGGGGGTGGGGTGTGTGTATGTGTGTGTAAAATGTCACAGCAGTCTTATCTGCCATTAATAAGACCTAGTTCCACATGATAAGAGCATAATTCCAGCAACCATGAAACAGAAGTATGATTCAGCATGAATAATTATCAGTATAATCTATCAGTTAATACATATGATACATAATACATAATAATTATTCTCAACTGTCTTCATTTCTGAGAGGCACTATCCGTGTACTGTCATCAAAAGAAATTATACTGTTTCACTGTACTTTTTTCTTTTTGAGATAAGGTCTCACAATGTTGATCAAGCTGGTCTCAAACTCCTAGGGTCAAGTGATTCTCCCATCTTAGCATCCCAAGTAGCTGGTTACTGTAGGAAGCCCTACTCTCCACTGAACTTTTAATAGTTCTTTATGATTAATCAGAGAGTTAGGTACAAATCAGATATATTTACACCATTGTATATCTAACACTCCGTAGAAAAGAACACGTAAGATCATGCAACACAGAGCAAGTCTACTTTTACTGCTAAAACCCTAGTGCTTACATGGTGCCAAACTCCTGAAGGCAAACAAATGTTTGTTACCTGAATAAATAAATGGACTTTAAAAAGTTTATATATTAAACGTTTTATAAAATTTGCTTTTATATTATTATATATTTTAATATATAAAACATATTTTCACATAATTATATAATATGTACATATTATATAATTTGCTTCAGCATACATTATTTCTGGTCTTGATAACGTTCATTACATATGTTCATCTATATCTTCCATAGTAAATGAGGAACATGCCCCACATAAAAGACTAAAAATTACAAAGTAATGTCTTTACTCTAAACTGCAAAGTACTTCATAAATGTTCATTTGTCTGAATTAGTAAAAGTAGATATATTGCATTCCTATTGTACTGAGATCTGACAATACTATATATTTCCTTTTCTGTGTCTGACACAGACGATCAATATAAATTTGTTGAAAGGAAAGAGAATGTTTTTAAAAAATCATAATAACAAAAATTCTACTTCAGGTACCTATAATAATGTAATAAATTATATTTATTACTTCCCTTATTCTAATTTTCATCATGCTTTCCTATTTCATTCTTTTCCAGGAAATTATAAGGTACAAGAAGGCATGGACTGTTTTTCTTGTTTTACCACACTATATACAATAGCACATAGAAAAAGCTCAAACATTTGTTGGGTGAGTAATGAATGTATTCCCATAGCTTACCGTTTATAGAGCATTCATGTATAGAACACTCACTTTCAAGCCAATTTTGCTTACTTTTGAAATGTGCAATTTGGTCTTCTAGAATGGTAGAATGTTAGGAAAGTTAAAAATTAGGATATGCTAAATCCTTGTTTATGCTTTATTGATTCTTCCTTATATCTAATAAATCACAGGTATTTGAGATACTAAAATAAAAAATTGGGGTTTTCTGTAGAAAAATAAATATTTCTCAAAACTCTACCTTTCCAATAATAGAACTGGAGATTTCCTTTTTAACACCATTCAATAGATCTTCTTTTTCATTACTTTGTTGACATTTATTGTGAACAGCTGGAGTTATATAAGGTTTGGTGACATTAAATAGTTCAGATCTAAAAACATATTTTTTGGGGGGAAGTTCACAATTTCTTGAATCCTCATTTTCTGGCTTAGTGATAGAGTCAGGAGCAATAAGTGTAGCCGAGGCTCCAAAAGAAGATGCAGAATCCTTTTGAAGACAATCCAAGTGAACTGAAGAAGCAGACTCATTTTTATTGCAACAAGGCTTAGGATGCTGGTAAAGTTGATAATTTATCTTGTTAATGAAAGAAAGATGATCCAATAACCACCCAGGTAACAACTGGTGTACCACAGACATTCTTTTCTTTTAAAAAGTTTGGAAATTAGTAATTAAAAGTAAAACAAAACTTTGAAGATCAACTTCTTAAATATCCTATACTTCAATAAATATAAACTTCATATACACAGACCTGATATGCAAGTATACAAACTGAACACGTACGTAAAAAACGATTTAAGCATTCATGATATGTTAAAACATATAGCAGCTCTTAAGAAAAAAATGCAATGGTTTAATAAAATCTTTTAATTTCAGAGCTGATCATTCAAATTTTTCAGCCAGCTTGGCCAAAGAGGTTTTAACTTGATGTTATCTGGAATTCCAATTTGATCYTCCTTCTTCCTGTGCCTTACACAATTTTCTTGCTTGGTCCTTGAATCTAGCCAAAATGTCCACATGTAAGGAAGTCACTGAATTCCTTAAAAGATGAAAGTACACTGTTAAATGAAAGAATACTAGTTACCTAAGTAAATACATTCTTTTTTAATGAGATAACTACTTGAGGAGGGTCACAGAATTTCAAAGAGTTGTTAGTAGGTCAGCCCATTTTGTTCAAACTACATTTGCCACAGTAAATCAGCCCATTCTCCCAGTATCATTGCCCTATTTAACTACTGTATCAATGGAGTAATAGGGTTAAAAGATTGATCTAGTCAAAACAAATGCAATTTTAACAGCACATAAAAAGCACTAAATCCTAGCAAAACTGCAAGGCTGAAGGTCAGATTTGTTATCAGCCTGAGCCCCTCCCCTCCAGTAACTAGGTTTTACAGAACTTCCTTTTTTTTTTTTTTTTTTTTAAGAGAGAGTTTATAGTTCTGGGTATAACTTTATAAATCAAATGTAATAGAGAACTTAAAAGGGCACGGAATAAGAAATAAGCAGTTAACAGTACAGCCAACAATAGCATTTAGATTCAAATTTCTAACAAAGGGAATTACTTGATCTCACAGAGCCTCAATGTTAGCATTTTTATAATGTCTCAGCTTATATAATTAAATGAGATAATCTATATGAAATGCTGTGCACAAAGCCTGACATACAGCTTACATAAATACTAACTGATAGTATTGGCGATAGGGATCCTTTCGATCCTTGGTTCCCCCTTGATAGACACCATGTGTGAGGAAGGAGATCGTTGGTAGTAAGATCTAGAAATTTAGATGAGAAAACTGAAACTCGGACAAAACAGGCTATATGCCCCAAAATTACCTGTTAGTTAACGATACAGTTACTACAAGACCCGGCTATCCAAACTTTCGCTCGGAGATTTCCCACCACTTTCCAGTTATTGGGCAATACCAATCTTTGGGTTTAAACTCAGGGAAACGAGGATGTCTTATTTTAGCAAGGTAATCCACGGTATTTTTTGTCGCCCTTCTGCTACATCTCTGATTCACATCCACCCGCCTCAACCGGTCACCCCCCGCCCCCAGGATTCTTCCTTCTTCTAACAGGCCACCCACCACTAGAGGACCGCGAGACGGTGGCGAGCAGTCAAATCTCCAGCCAGAATCCTGGAGGCAGCCACACCAGTACGATCCCTGGAGCCGAGTGCACCCACATTCGGCAGCCACTACGTCCTGCTTCACCATTCATTTTTCAGAAAAGTGCCCGCCGCCTTCCCAGACTGTCATGGAGACACCGCGCATCTAAATAGCGGTCATGAAAGCCACATCCTTCAGGGGAAAAGAGAAAAAAAAAAATTTCTAAGACTTAATGGAAGCCGCCATGTTGCTGTACGGAAAACATTTCCACGGCGCCCCAGAGCACTCAGCCTATTCCTTGGTGGCACTGGACCTTGGGTCTTTAGAGCTAACTTTGAAGGTCAATCCAGACCTGGTAGAGGAAGCTTCAGAGTGCCCGCGAGGCGAAGAGGCGCCATCAGCACGTAGAGTTCCCGCGACCAAGAGCGGCGCCTACGAATTGCGTTACGCGTTACGTAAGCGTGATGACGTCAACCCCGGCGGAGATTTTTAAAATTCAAACCGTCTGGGCGGTCGGAGGCAGAAGCTCTTGTTTTGGCGGCTTCTTAGTATGTAGCGAAGAGTAATTACACAAAATACAGAGATTCGTCCATTCGTCCGCTGAGCCTTGTCAGGAAACTGGAAGAAAGGTAACTAATAACATTCAGTTCTTTGTTAGTGCAAAACTATTCTGGAGGGAGAAAGTGATAGAAAGGTGCAATCTGTTTAAGTGCTGCCGCGAGAGGCCTAGGGCCGAATCTCAGTCCAATAAATTTAAACTAGCAACGATTTTTCCGGGAAGGAGGGAAGAAACTAGGGGACTCTGTAGAGAATAGAGACTGGAGCGAGAGAAGAGGGTGGGAAGAGAAGGACAAGAGAGAGTTGTTGTTGTGGGTATTGTAGCATCTTAGTGGCTGTGTAAGGAGGAAGTCTCCAAGTCTTAATCTTAAATCTTGAGAGTACATTTTAAGTGGAGATTTGGAGTAGACATAGAGAAGAGCCGGAAAATGGAATAGATAGAACAAGTGTACGTGGAAGGAGAAGAAGTAAGTAGCCAAAATCAAGAAAGAAAGAGTGTAATCAGTATAAAAGAGGAATATGGGCCCAGAAAAGTAATAGGATGACCACGAATGTACAATTTCCTGGATGCCAGGGCAGGATCTGAGAAGGCTAAGTAGGTAGTATCTAATGCTGCAAAATTCTGATAGGATACAATATTGTCAATCCTGAATATCTAAGGGGAAAATCTTTTAAGTAGATGTAAAAACAATGAGATGCTAATGTGTTTTGAAAATGGAAGCAGCTTATAGACCATGTTGTGGATAGATGACTTATCCTTTTTGAAGGGAACATAGGAATCAGAAGGACAGTGATTGATTATAAACTGTGAAACGATATAAGCATAAAGCAGGAAATATTGACTTTGGGAAAAGAAAACACAATAACTCCATTCTTTGAAACAAAAGTAAGGAAACGTTTTGAGGGGAAGAAGGGAAATTGAGGTGGTTCTTAGTAGACAGCCTCTGACTTGCCAACAACAATGAGTGGTCAAGGTTAATTTTCAGGAATTTTGCTACCATGGATATTCTTGTGAGGGCAGGGATCAGATATTATTCTTTGTATTTCCTATGTTACCTGACACACTCCCTTGTGCATGGTAGGGCAGTTAGTAAATTGTGTGTAGAATATTTTAAAATGAATTTAAATAGGTATTCTTTGCAGACCTCGGTGTACAGGAACAAGAAGGGGAAAGATTATCTTGAAGATGAACCTAGTTGCTTTTATATTTGAGGATAAAGATATTAGTTATTGCCTAGTCTACTTTTGTTCTAAATCTGGAACATTTTTCTAATACTGAATTCATGAATGTAGTTCATAAGCATGAAGCGCAGTTCATTTTCCACCGGTGGTGCCGGCCGCCTCTCTATGCAAGAGTTAAGATCTCAGGACATGAATAAACAAGGCCTTCACACTCCTCAAACGTAAGTGCTGCCATCTGTGGTCCTAATCTGTGTTTTTTGTGTTTTTGTTTTGTTTTTTTTTTGTCTTAGGCAAAGAAATTATAAAATGGTTAATATAAAGATGTAGTCTGTGTAATGTGTTAGTGAATCCTATCTGTTCCCAGTGATACAATATTGGGATATTGTATCAATATTTGGGATCAACAATACTAGGCACTAGGCCTGATACCGGTGTTTCTTAAATTCCCAAATCCAATGTTATTTGCTCTGATGATAAGCTAAAACGTAATAGCAACCTACAGAACAACACTTTTTTAAAGACTCACAGGGAAAACAGTGCCCAAATGAACTTGCTATATAAACTGTATTTTTTTCCTCTATAATTGATGTTCTTGCAGTTGACAGAAGAACACTATAAGCCACTGTAGAGCTGTATCAATTCTTCTCTAATACTTAGGTACAAGTTACTTGCGGGCTGTTCTTAAATTATTTAGGTTTAACGTACTGTGAGTTTCTGTACTTTTAGAAATGTGAAATATTTATTTTCCTTCTGAATACTTTAACAGAATATTTTGTTGTACATTACACCAAAAGATTTTAGGTATTGAATTGTATTAGGTGTGAAAAGGTTACCATTGGGCTGGGGAGTAGCACGCTCGCCTGGCATGCGTGTGGCCCGGGTTCGATCCTCAGCACCGCATACAAAGATGTTGTACCCTCTGAAAACTAAAAAAAATAAATAAATATTTTTTAAAAAAGGTTACCATCATCAATGTTTTTTGTCTGTAATTCAAATATTGTATACGAAGCGCAACTACATTCTAACAGTGAGCTTTAAAAGAAAAAAGTCTCAAAAGTAACTATCATCCTGTGATTGAATATATCTATTTGTACATTTTGCCTTTTTCTGTAAGGTTGTTATCTGTAAATGTACATATTTTAAGATAAAATCATAATGTAGATAAGATTTTTGTTCTGCTTCTTAATATTTTAGTACTATAATTTATACTTTTAGCCCATCCCTATCATAACAGCTGTGGTTACTGCTAAAATTTTTCATGATTTTGAATAATTTTATAGGTAATAGGGAGGAGGTATTTATTCCAACATATTTCCAAAAGTTTCTTGAGCTGATTATTTCTTGTATTTATTTTAAAGTGTTGTTTTCTGTTTTTCTTAAAGCAAAGAAAAACCAGCCTTTGGAAAGTTGAGTATAAATAAACCTGCATCTGAAAGAAAAGTCTCTATATTTGGTAAAAGGTAATGTTTTAAATGATTAAATTTTTAGGTTATATCTGCTTTAGATGGTAATAAGAGATAAATTAACCCATTCAGACCACTATTTTATTGTTACATGTGAATAATTGGAAGTTCTATACCTAGCACTCAAATACTATAGAATCATAGATTATAAAATGAGGAACTAATCCCACATTTGAGTCTCATCTTTTTCATACTCTTAATGAGAACTCCAAGGAGCATTTGTTGTATGGGCTTTATCTATCTATATTAGCCATTTAAAAATTAACACTGCGAAGATTTTAAAATATATATATTAATTCAATTTAAAATAGCAATAAGACTATTACATAGTAAAATAAATAATGTGTTTTTAATGTTAAAAAACGTGTTTCAAAAAACAAAACTATTTCAGAGAGAAGAGTGACATTGTTTTCCAGTTTTGCAAATCCCTTTTAATATGTGGCTTTACAGAAGATAGGTAGATTCTCATATCTGCTTCTGCAGTCTATTAGAATATTATGCATCTTATAGCCAGCCTCTGGAAAACTTCACTATACACTCATGGATAAAATGAGCCAGGCACAGTGGTACATGCCTGTAATCCCAGCACCCAGCTGAGGTAGATCATAGATCACAAGTTCTAGGCCAACCTCAATAACTTAGCAAGACCCTCTCTCAAAATAAAAAGGTCTGGCCAGACATGATGGCTGGAGACAAAAACAGTGTATCCTCACAAGGCAGTTTTGAGGATTGATTGAAGGAGATGGTAATATTTATAAGATCTAACATTTGTTGAGCATTTCTAAAGCCCAGATATTAAGTGCTTTTCTGTGTTAACTCTTAATCTCCAAAGGCAGATTTCCCACAAGAAATAGTGAGAAATGATGAGTTGCAGGGAGCAATTATGGAGGGGTAAATAAAAGCACAAGGACTTGGGTTATTGAATAAACGTGTAGAATAGTTGGTGCAGAAGATCTAGTGGACTCAGTACACATTAGAGGAGAGTGTATGTGTTGTTAATGAAAAGTATTAGTATATTTTTATCCCTGCCTTATTTTATATCTAAATTTTCTTTTAACTGTTATAACTTCATATTTTACATTCTCTTTATTTATTTGCTTACTTATTTATTTATTTAGTACTGGGAATTGAACCCGGGGCATTCAACCACTGAGCCACATCCCCAGCCCTATTGTATTTTATTTAGAGACAGAGTCTTACCAAATTTCTTAGTACCTCACTTTTACTAAGGCTAGCTTTGAACTCATGATCCTCTTGCCACAGCCTCCTGAGCCGCTGAGATTACAGGCATGCACCATCACGCCCAGCTCTCTCTACTTTAAATAATAGAATTCTGTTTAAGTAAATAAGGATTAAAAAAATTAAACTTTAATGCTTGGTGCCAATGTTAAAAATAATAATAATAATAACAACAGCAACAACTTAGACTTGACCACAGAAAGAAATATCTTTGACTTTTAAAACTGTGTTTCCAGAACTAGTGGACATGGATCCCGGAATAGTCAAATTGGCATATTTTCCAGTTCTGAAAAAGTCAAGGATCCAAGACCACTTAATGACAAAGCATTCATTCAGCAGTGTATTCGACAACTCTGTGAGGTATTTTATAATTCAAATAATAATTGTGAATGTCCTCTTAGGTATTTTCCAATAATTTTATTATGACAAAATGTTTGATGTTTCATAAAAGTTATTGTAGTTTCTTACAGAAAATGGTTATGCATATAGTGTATCCATGAAATCTCTACAAGCTCCATCTGTTAAAGACTTCCTGAAGATCTTCACTTTTCTTTATGGCTTCCTGTGCCCTTCATATGAACTTCCTGACACAAAATTTGAAGAAGAGGTTCCAAGAATCTTTAAAGACCTTGGGTATGAACATTATTAATATTTCTTAGTCTGGGGAAATTATTGGAACCTAAAAACCAAATTCAATAAATTTAATATTTGAGTTAGAAAAGTTACATGTTTTAAAATGATTATTGTGAACAGTACATATAGAATGAATAGAAGAGGAATTATACTGTGGATATATTAGTCTGTTTCGTGTTTGACTTATAAAGAATAGGCATTTATTTAGCTCATGGTCTAGG